ACAACCGAAATTCTTGTGGAACTTCCAAAGAGAACTCAGTGGAGTGGGGATTGCAGAAACCTGGCTAGTCACAGGGCAGTTTCCTTGCAGGGAAATGCTTTGATCTTGTCAGAAAAGACGTTGTAAGCTGAGGTCCACCCAATGCCTGCATATCAGTAGATTGGTGGCCTCTGACACCACCAGGAGACCATACCCTTGGTGCTAGCACTGCTGGGCAATTCACAATTGCATCAGAGGAGTGTCTGAACACTATCCATCTTGAAAAGATACAGAAAATCCTTGCAAGACAGATTAGCAAAGGATTTTTCTCCAATGCATCATTCTTCTGCACATACACAAATCTTTAACAATATAAGCAAAAAGTATTTTTATTTGCTGTGATGCAACTTAGGCCACAAAGAAAGCCATTCCTCCCTGAGGTGCTGGGTCACGACAGGAGATCCTTGAAACAGTACCAAGAAAGCAGATTTGCTCACCAAGGAAGTACCAAGAGTGGCCTGCAGAATCCTCCAAAATTCTCATGACTAGAAAAAATATAAAACCCAGTGAAAAAGTCAGATTCAGATTTCTGCTGCAATCCCTGAACAAATATTCCATATTTGGAATAATTTGTCAAGATATGCATTGCAACATGCTCTTAAGTAACTAATACTTTTTGAAATCTGTAAGGAAAAAAACCCCAAACTAATTTGTTCAAATAGGTTAAAATGACACCTTAAATGAAGTACATGCAGACAGAGGAAAATTAAAATATTGTAAGATAACTTAACCCATACTGGGAGATTATACCAGAAAGCTCCAAGAGAGCAGAGAAAATGCTGAAAGTAAACATTTCTGTATCTGCAGGAAAGCAACAAAGAGCAAATTAAATTATTTTATTAATTTTGTTAACATAACAGTAAATACAAACCATTAATATTGATTCTTGAATGCTACTTATTAGGTACTCTCTGAATACCTAAGAGAACAATTCAGATTTATAGTTCAGTTTAAAATGAATTAATGCTTCAGTTGCTTCACTTTCACAGTCTAGAACAATCTGGCTTTAAATGATCCTCTCCACAGGTTAGATGAATTGATTTTCTGTTGATATTCATAATGTTCAAAAATTTCATATCTTCTTTCCTCCGACTAAAATCAAAACCTGGTTTGGAGAAAAAAAAAAGTGATGAGAACATTGCAAAGACTAAAGCACACATATTTGTTCAGTGTTAGCATTCCATAATTTAGATGGTCTGGTTTTAAGTTCTTGATATTGATAATTAGTATTACTTAAATGGCCTTAAAAAAAAAGGTTCTTATAAAAAAGTTTATTATCTTCATTTTTGTGAGAATTTGTACTTTATTTTTAGATCACTAAGGTGAATATAACATTAAGAAAAGCTCAAATCCAAAGGGAATGAATTGAAATAGCTGATAAAGTGATATGTAATAGTGCACCCAAAAACATAACACACTTGAATGTATGGAGCAAACATTAATAGGCTGATAAAGCTGCTAATATACTCTTGAACTTTCCTACTAGTAGTTCAGCTACAGAATGTTTCTCAAAGGGCACTGGTTAGCAAAGCCCATGTTAAGATCCCAAACATTCCTCTTGGCATAGCAATTGTGATCTAGTACAACAGAATGGTGCAAAGTTGCTTGGAGAAGCACATCCCATGATGTTGGCCATGCTGCAGTGCCTTACATGCTACACCACTGGGCAGTAGTATCAGTGCCATTGAGTTAAATTAATTTCAGGATTTGTGCTTCTCTTTTTTTCTTCAATGGGCACTGTCAAGTTCTGGAGATAGTTCACTTAGAAGTCATTACTGTCATATAGTGTCTTGGGAGCTGTAATCAGTCCTGTGTGATACTGCAGATGGACAAACAGCCAATGATAAATACAAATAGTAAGGCTGCAGCATTCATATAATAAATATAACACATATTCACTGCAAGGCAGTGCAAATATTTGGCATTTTCTTTCAAAAGTGCAGACATCTTAGTAGAGGCTGCAAAAAGTACCACAAAATTAAGTAGAGAAAAAGGCTTCCAGCATAGCAATACAAAAAATTGCCAGAAGGTTGACTTATCTGTTATTTTTACCCAGTGACGACAGTGAGAGATGAGCTTCAAAGCTTTGGAAGGGGTGTGGCAATGCAGAAAGAGTTAACTGCTGGGATTCAATCAGCAGCAGCAAGAGCTACACCACCTTTATCCCCATTTTCAAAGACATGGGTTAACCACAAAGCAAAAGGAGGGGCGACCAGTATGCAGCCTGCTTGGCTTAGTGATTTTGTGAACTTACAGAAGTGGTACAGAGTGCAGAAAGTCAGAAAACAATGCCTTGAAAGCTATGCTGGGGACAGGTGTGACAGAAACATTTCTGCAACCTGATTTAAAAAAAAATAAATCCTGAATATGCACTTCAAAAACCTATTTCCATTATTTTCCAGTGAAACATTCTTAGGTGCCTTCATCTCCAGAAATATAAAAGAGAAAAATCAGAAGCAAGAAAAAGAAGAGAGAGAGCCACTCAGAGTCAGGCAGGAAGTTACTTGGCTGCACAGAAAATGGCCTCACCCTTTCCACTGATTTTTAGTTTATATTTTTCTTTTCCTTATTTGTTTCAAGAGAATTCCTTTCCATGAGGAGTCACAGAGTTCCTGCAAAGGTATCTGACTACACTTAGGTAGATAACATTGCTAAATTGTACCTTATTTTAAATAGTGGTTTATCTCAGCTAGAAAGGAGTGCCCCAAGCAGTCACTACCATAAATTACCTACACCATAGGGAAGTAAAAATGCCTTCAGTTTTCCAGTGTATTCCCTGATCTGTTTGGCAAGGTGATGGGTTACATGGATGAAATGGATTCACTGCTGTATCTTAAAAAGGGCCATTGCAGAAAACCGAAAAAGTTTTCCCTCTAGAGAAAGTTGGTCTTACAGAAATAAGAACAAGAGGGGGAATTTCAATACCTCAAGAAGAATATGCATATAATCCCAAGAATTCACTTGAGGGATAGTCAGAGTTTCAAACAAAACAAAATCTTAAAACATGAGTACCTCCAGGCTAACTGACCAAAGAAGGAATTAAAAAATAAAATTAAACTTACTGATTTTCTATGTTCAGCACTTTTATATCCTTTTGGTCTTCTAGGTTCTGCTTGTATTACAGAACATCACTCCTCCCTGCTACCCCTACATCCCACTACTGTTCACTTGCCAATATTAGTTGTATTTCTTTGATCAATATTGTCAGAAAACTATTACCACAAAAGTAATGCCAATTTAGTTGTGGAGGGGAGCATAAAAAATTAATCCACTGAGTCTGTGTTTCCCTCTGCAACCTGACCAAAAGTAAAAGAGGATGTGCACATTGATTCTAAATCAATGAACACAGTATAAAACTTGTGAATACCATGTTCAAAGGAAGAGGCTCCAGTGACAAGGAGATAACAGGGTTCCAGTCTGGGGCAATTATAGCTTCTAGCAGAAAACAATGGCTATTAGTGAGGCACAATGTGTAAAACTGCACAGCACACCTGGGAGAAAGATAGCATGGGTCAGCTGAGGCTTCTGTCACCTCAAATTACACTTCACTTTGTACATAGCTAAAATTAAACTCTTTTGTAGTTCTAAAGCCACTACCTGTTAGCAAAGGAACTCCTGGGGAAGACTACAAAATAATAATAATAAAACAAACAAACAAAAAAAAACTGGGGAAGACTACAAAATAATAATAATATTAAAACAAACAAACAAAAAAAAAACACAGGAAAAAAAACCAAGTTAAGTCTTAATGTACTTAGAAAAGTATCAGATTAGGTAGGTTTGTCTGTACTTTAGCCAAGCTGTATAAAAGCTCTACTTTGAGGACAAACAATGCAGGCTAGAATATATGATTGCTGTAAGTCACTTCTCGATACAAAGCTGAGGAGCTTTGTTTCATGACATGACTAAAGCAGAACAGCACTGGGAAAACTGCCTCAGGAAGTCCACACACAATATAAATAATAATCAGATTTTCCATACATTTCTAGACACAGGAACTCCTAAAATATCAAACCCATGTAACTAGAAGTTGAATACTCAGCCAATAGACTCTTTAGGCATATTTCTCAAAACAGATCTGTAAACTAAATCTGTCTATATTTATCTCTCTATATAGATACCTATTCTATAAAATCTGAGGAACAGTATAGTTTCTTAAGGAGATTTCCTGGACAAACCCAAAATGAAAGCTAAACTAATTCTCACAAAAAGCTACAGAAAACTCACCAGAATTTCCAGTAAGTAATAACAAAGATGCCCTTTGGCTCTTAGAGCTTGCTGCTCAACCCTTAGTTGTGCAGATGGTTTATTTGTAATAGACTTCTCTGGAAAGATTTGTACTTTGTTGTATCTACAGGGTAGTAAATGATATGCACTGAGCTCTCTGAGTTAATGTCATACTTATGCTGTGATATGCATCAACCTTTTTTTGGTGATGCTCAGTTATTGCTTATTACAGCGAAATTATATTTTTGATGGAGATTTGCCCTATACTATACAATATAAATACTGTTATAATAATGGTATTAACATTTTTTTCACCCAGCTTTTTCTTCTTCATACATTGTACCTCTAAAAAAGTACTTGAAAAATTAATTCATACTTAACACTTGTGTTGTACACTAACAGGCAGCATTTTTTCCCTACCATTTTCAAGAAGGAATATCTCATGCTCTTTGATCAAACAGCCTGATGCAGGGTCAATGGTATAAACAGGAGTCTTTGCATGGGTATCAATGAACTAGGGAACAGGATTTGAGACAGAAATATCTCTTTGAGGGCAGTAAAGAAGTACTACTCTCAAAAATATCTTTTGTCTGTTGCCAACATGAATGACTTGAAATCAGTTATTATTAACAGACATTATTATTACAATTATATTCTTATTGTAACCTTCCCTGAATTTCAATTACACAGTGTCACTCATTGGTCACCGAGAAAGGAAAAGCTCAAACCTTCATTCACACAATAAGGGTTGGATCCCAGGAAACATGTCTCCCATCATGCATTCCATTCAGAATGTCAACATCATCTTCTGCTATAGTAAAATCAAACACCTGTGGGAATGCATAGATAGTTAACATTGTGGGCACAGAGAGAATCAGCAATCTAATACACACTATGATATTTAACTGACAGGCTCATTTATGTGTGAAGCAGAATTTTTCTGTATTTTTCCTTCTGAAAATTCTTATATTTTGTCATAGAAAAATACTCCATTTATCTGACAGGCTCCACAGGGTCCTTTGCTCCTTTAGTGACTCATTTTTATTTGTAGACTATGTTAAGGTGGTTTTGTAGCACTCTGGCCTCAGGCAAGAGTCCAAGACAAGGGTAGTATCAAAGCTGTTTTTTGACAGCACTCTACATTGTCACTGTCAGAAGTACAGGAATACCCTGACTGCAATCCATTTGGAAACCTGAGCTCAGTATTTCACTTAGATCCCAATGTTCAGTTTAGAGTGTTAATTCTCTTTGGCTAAAGTTCTGAGGAGAAGAACTGTATCAGAAGGTATCAGGACATTCACACAGCTAGCAAACCAAAGTCTGGATCTATCTTTTCTATGATTCTACTTTGACAAAGCACTCACAGATTAGCTAATGCAGAAACAGTGCTACAGTGCCTCAGCACTAACTGGAAAGCAATCACCTTTCTTCATTCATAGGTTCTTACAGCCACTGACTTCTCCTGTGGCGAGACCTGCAACGTGAACGACGGTGTCAGTGTTTTCTTAGCAGGTGTCTTATTCAGACATTATCATCAGAAAGTGGCTTTAACTTGGTCTGTTGTGTTTGTCAGAGCTGCTTCATGCTCAGTAGAAAGATCCTGTGGCGCTTGAACTGCTGCCAAATGAGCTCCTCCCATCCTGCATTATTCAGCAATCACTGTCTGCTGGAATGACCTCTGTAGTTAAATCTCAGTGCTCACTCAAGCCCTATAAACCTAAACCAGGGCCAGTCACAGAACTAGAATCCCTATATATTATATAGTGAGGGTTTAATGAGTACCATTACACCTATATACAAACACACACACAGAGTGACAAAAATAGCAGACAGAAGTTTCCTATCTTCTTGCAAAGTTTCTTCCTGATTTGCCGAACAGTTCGTACCCCTATGATATTTTTGGAAGTAACAATAAGGTTGTTGTGGTTTCCCCTCTCCTAAAAAAAACCCTTTTCAGATTAGAGAAATGGAGAGAAAAAAATCAAGTAATAAATGAAATCCATTTTGTACGAAAAGGAAATTCAAAAAAGAGTGAGGGGAATCATGCTGCCAATCCTCATTCATTCCCACTTTTCTTTGTCCAGTCCCTTCATGCTAGGACCTTTTCTGCAAGTTGAGTAGAAGGATGAGGAGGAGTCAGCTCTGCAGGACAGTGATTTCCTTGGAAGGTCTCTATCTCAGACAGTTCTCCCCAACTGAGCTTTACAGCTTTCATACAGTGTTATGCATAGCATCCAAATCCCTTCCATTTGACCTGTGTGCCTACCACAAAAAGGACCCAACCATGACCAGATTGGGATGTTCTACAACCAGCCAAGTAATAAATCAAAATATTAATAATAAAAATCAACTACAAAAGGTCTTCTATGGATTTTTCTTTATATACAACAATTAGCTTTCCCATTGATTTCAGACATTTTTGAGTTATGGCTTTCTACTATATTGTAGTGATTTTAAGGTACCATCATTTGCCAATTTTAACTGAGTCACCCCAGCATGAAATTGGTATAGGAAAATGGGAAGGCAAATCAAATATTAAAAACAGTTATTTGGATGTTAATCAGACTCAAGCGCATAACCAAATCTTACCTTGCAGTTTTCCTCTATCCTTTCTGCCTTTGTGGACTTTGGAATAGTGACAATGCCATTCTGAAAAACATAATGCATCTCATCACTAAAATTTACACAGGTTTGAAGAAAATGATCTCTCTTCAAAACATTTCAAGACACTTCTCATGTCTTCTGAGGTTTTAATTTCATTTTTCAAGGGACACTGACATTTCTATATGCCATTTGCAACGGTAGTTATACACATTGCATTAATTTCCAACACAAATTATGTGGTTTATGTCAACTTAATACACTATTTCAGGGCTTCATACTTCGTGTTCAGTGACAGAAATGGAATGATGCCTGATACTGCTTAAAACATTTACTTTGAACACATCTCTTATTGGTGGTTCTTATTCTCTACAGTCAGATTATTTGCATATTTAAAATACTGCCATGATTTGTGTACTACATTCAAAATTTCCAGCACAGCACAGGTAGTTCACATGATACTAACATATTGAAGGCAGAAATACTTTCTGTATAAATTCTGGTTTGACGCACAAAACCCAAACTATTTGCATTTTTTTCCTGCAAAAGGAGACACATTTTTATTACCAGCTTCCATTACCTGTATACTCCAGCGTATGCAAATCTGTGCTGGAGTTCTGCTGTATTTCTTTGCCAGCCAAATGACAGTAGGATGAGTGAGTGCTTCACCTTTGGCTAAAGGACAGTAGCCTTCAAAAACAATATCTCTGCTCCTACAATAATCAACCAGCTCCTGAGGTCTTTGGAAAGGGTGGTATTCAACCTTAGATAAACAGAAATAAATTTTTAGCAAAAACTTTGAGAGCACATTTTGTAGGAAACATCACTGAAAAATGAAAATATTTTTCTCTCAGGCTTTAAAAATACAACAGGAGTTAAATCCCTGCTTCTGGGAGAGAGATTCAGTTAGCAGCTTTAAGAGACACATGAAGGATGTTCATCAACAAGTATTTGGCCAGTTTACTATGTATTTTATGTTTCCCTCAGGGGCAAGGTGCATGGAGCAGTTCTCTGCCCGACCTGCAGTTGGGTGTGCACTGTTGTTCTGATCTGTGTTTGCAAAATACATGCAAAGGCACAGTGGAAGTCAGCATTAGGTCATTTGTACTGGTGCCTGGAGAATACCTTCTCTTCCCCAGATCTACGTCCTTTCCCACTACTTTACTAATGATCTTCGAGTTGCACAGGCAAGGGGAGGGGGCTGGGCAGGGCCTGTGTTTGCAGGAGACCAGCCAGAACGATTTGCTTAGGATGGAGGGCCTGACCTTGGAAGCAAAGCCTGTTGGCATGGACAGTACATGGAAAACCCTGTGTTCTGTGTGTGGTGTCACCATCAGCTTATACAGAGAAGCAATCACACAGTGGAATGAAGTGTGAAGGAGACCCTTTGTAGGAAGGAAGATCACAAATTGCCAAGAACCAGTTAAAAGAGGAAAAGTAACAAGCTACAAAGACATAGTTGTTGGGAGCAAAAGGAAACAGAAGTTATTGGAAAGTAAGAATCTCAGAAGAGCCACATATTCTGGCTAAAGCCAAAAGAAAAACTCTGTAATATTCCTTAATAGGATATTTAAATAAGTATTTCAGAGTTCTTACACTGTAAGACCATACCTTCCTCTGCATCGACATGAAAATGGATATTGCTTTTTTTCACAAAACACATATTCATGTGATGCATTTTTGTGACTGGCCATCATCAGTGTCCCAGAGATCGAACTCTTACGCATTTTGAAGAAAAATACTCTTCTCAACAATTACCTCAACACATGGAATCTGGAAAATTTCTTCTGCCACAAAGGGGACAAATGACCATTTCCTGTTTCTCATCTTTAGTACATGTTGTCTTTTCAGACAACAATAGTCAGGAACAATAGCCTGGCAGTCATTCAACATGCACTAAGAAAAAACTGTGCCCCTGGAAGGCTGGGCTGAGTCAGCCTAAAGCTGCGAGGAGCTAAATTACTAGGCGGACTCAGGAACAAGGTTCAAGCAGCACACATCCATGTCTTCAACCTTTGATGTTTCTTGACCTTTGAGTACCCTTTGTATTTCATGTTTAGATGTGTAAGAGCAGTGTTTAGGTCATACAGTTATTCACTTGTTTGCACCTGAGCCAACCACAAAAAATTCTCATATTTACGCAAAACTGTGAGGGGAGAAACGAAAGAGCAAGCAGTGGGTAGGGTGTATTACTCAACTATTACAAGAGTAATAGGCAATTTTAGCAGATAATCATTGCACTAAGCATAGCAAATAGCCTAGACAATATTAAATAAAGAAGGATGTATTTAGGATCAAGTTCTGAAAAATTTGCAGTGCCCCTATGGCATCATGTGACTTATTCAGCATTTATTACTAATATAACTGCAAGCAGAATTTTCCTGCTGGTTTAATGAGATTTCTAGGCAGCACAGTTCCAGGTTACACCAGAAACATTTAGAGCAAGAGCAGCATGCTGAGATGGCACCTGCCTGCTCCACAAGCAGAAAAACACAGCAACAACTACTTCCCACCTTGGATACTTTGTGCCTTTCATGAATTCATGAGACTTCCAAATTCTGGGAATTGAATTTTGGCACATGCAGTTGTGTGTTGGTAGCAGCAAGTTATTTTAGGAAGCTATTTAAGAAGAAAAATATAAAATTCATAAACAGTTTTGAATTCAGTTTTTTTTCCTGAAATCTTTGCGGAAGGGTCTATCAGCATCTGAATGGTTGGGACTAGCATCCTAAGCCACACGAGGCAGAAGGGGAATGGCCAGCATGTGCTTCCCCTCAAAGGACTCATTCTTACCCCCTGTCTTGCCCCACCCTGGCTATTTTAGTCACCAAACTTTTCTGAGGCCAGGGCTGTCAGACAGTGGTAGAGAAAGATCTTGATCTTATCTGGCACTCCACCCTCAGTGATTTGTGTGTAAAAACTGGCATTTGTCTAATAAAACAGTGTGCAGCTCACTTTACAGAACTCTTCACAGCTGCTGTCTGGTCAGCCACAGGGGACCTCGAACTAAAGCACTGGTGTTTACAACCATCATAGTAAAATGGGGAAAAGTTGAGCTAATAATAATCCTGGCCCTTGAAAGTCATACTTTGGATGATGGCACACAAAAACCTTACTCTTTCCACCCTGCTGTGTTTCCTTGCATCTGGAATTCAGTAATTTTCTCAATGGGAATACAGAGTCTTACAATCATTTCTCTTCATGTAACTGAAATACAAGCCTATAAATATTTCTCTATAGAGGAACAGTTCAGGTGAGTTTATGTACAAAGGGGATGTTTTCCAACACCTCAAATACATTTCTACCTGGTACAAAATTGCACAACAGAGTTCATTATTAATGGCAATATCAACAACATTACTAAATCTCTCTGAGGTCATTAGAAGTAATTTGCACTTCTATAAGAGAGGAAAAAATACTGATGAGCATTCCTACATGGAATTCAGAAAGGAACAGTTTATATTTGGTTTCCATATATTACTTTATTAAATGAAATATACATGTTGACTACTTCCAAAATGTACTTTTTCCCCTAATGAGTGACAGGCCTATGAGCCTTCAAAGAGACTTCAAGGATTTCCTGGAGCATATATCCAAACTTACGACTGCCAAGTCAATTACAAACTCTGGAACACAAACCTGGAACTTCTAGGTTGTGAGTTTGATTCTACATGATGCTAGGATAAAGTATTTGTCATCATTTTACACAGTGTTTAACAGCACTTTTAATGGTATATTGCAATTTTAAAAGGTGCTTGCTTAGTACTAAATACCTTAGCAATACTATGTTCTTGAAAAGATTGGCCTTTCCTACTTCTTGAAAAGCCATGATGATACTGTTTTTTTTCCAGGAACCAAGAAGATAGGCAGTGCTTAGGTTTGCAAAACAGAAATATTGCAATGACTGAAGTCTAATAAAGAACGTCCTTTCTCCTGCCTTCCACTTCCTCCTCTTCAGAGAAAAAATAACTTTCAATTTTAACATCATAAGAACTGCTGGAACTGTAAGAACACCCTAAAATCCTAAGAGGGAAGTGATTTTCCTTCACTTGTTTTTTAATATTTAGACTTTGTACACAATGATTATTTGCAAATGTTTTGTACTTAGAAATAAATCCACTGAGAAAGTACACTGTTTTGTGCATAAATATAGCAAAGCATTTGTATTATAAATTGTGGGCAGTGAAATAAGAACTCAGTACAGCATTTCCAGTCCCAATTTGAATTTAGGAATTCAGTAGTTATTTGATGGTGCTTAAGTAATCTCACCATCAGACAACCAAGAAACAGAATAAATACTCTTCTGATGATACCTAGAAGTATCCTGTATACCTGGCTTACAGGATTCCTGTAACTACAAAGTGCAAACACAGTAAGAAAACTGTTCAAAGTGGAGCACTTTGCAGTGACCTGGATATTGCATTGTTGGATTTTGTTTTAAATTCAGAACAATGCTGTGCATCACCTTAGAGAAATGACTAGTAGGGGCCTTCTCCCACCCCCCAGTAACAGCACAGCCTCAACTTTTTTTCTCCTCTTTTTTAGCCAAAGAGTTCTGTGGAATAGTACCAAGAAACAACTTGTCTCCATGAACACCACTGACACAGTAAGACTGGTGACATTGTGAGCAAGAGGAAATTTCAAAACAAATTGCAAATTACGTTTTTTTCCTTGCAGGGATTTAGTAGGATAATGAAAACCTACTCCCATTTTAGAGGCAGTAACAACTTCTGCAAAGCTCTAGTAAAACTTTGTAGATGTGCATTTCTTGAACCTTGGAAAACTCATTGATACTTAAACAGTCACCAACCTGCTCATCTGAACACATATTTCAATGGCTTATTTTGAATTACTTTATATGGGTTTATGCTAATTTAACATTACTCCTTATTGTTCTTTATTAACCTTTAGTCAGTGGACAGCTCAAATCAGAACTGTTTGGTTCTGACAGTCACATTCTGAGCAACCTTTTTATGGCTGTTAATGACATTAAACCATAAACATCTGCCAGAAATCCTGACCACCTGTACAAAGGGGAAGAGCATGTGCCTGCACTCCGTCCATTCCAGCTCCCACATCTGTGTCAGCACACACACACTTTCTCTGGCAGGAGATGGTAGGAATGGGAGCATGAACTTCCAGCACAGCTGTAGGCAGAAACCTGCAACAAGGGAGCAGTTGTCAAGTGTCCTGGCAGTCTGCCGGTATGTAGGTGGCCATTTGTCATCTGCCTAGGGCAGCAAAAATTGTTTTGCCAGAGCTCTCACACACCTGCCTAAGCGAGGAGTTCACTGAATTTAATGTGACCTTGAAGTAGGAAATAAGGGGGAGCAGGGCAAACAGCACCTTTGCATGGATATCTAATTACCTAAGGCTTTCAGTGCTGCTTAGAGAAAATGCACATACTATTTGAACACAGGGTCTCCAAAATTGTGTTCACTCTGGTGATGTTAAATGTTCAGGGCCTCTTGAATTTTATTTCTAAACTTTTTTATCATCAAAAACTGATACAGGGATCATTTGTGTCTTAAAACCAGACAGTAGTCTGGGAGAAAATGGGTGGGGGAAAAAAAGGAGGAAGGACTTCCCTCCCCTTCATGTCATCTTCCTGAATGGTTTTCAATATGTATATTGAAATGAAAGAAGAAATTTATGACTAAGGCTAGTCTGGGTGTAGCCTTTCAGGCACAGGGGTAGGGAGGAAATTATTAATCAAAAAAACCAAAGTAAAAACCCAGACCCAGATACTTTACATATATTTATCCACCCACCTGATTAACATGTGGAGTAATCACACAGTCTTCCTTCAGTTGTTCAAGATGGCTGATAAGAAAGTTGCTGACACCAATTGATCTACACAAACCTAATAAGAGAAGAAGAAAAAATTTTGGGACAATCCTAAGTATTTGGGAGGATGATTTGAAAAATATCACTTTCGAGAGACAAAATGATTGTACACGTCATTTCTGCGGAGCAAAAACCACAGAAAAAACAGTACCAGAATCTAGTTTGACAGTATTATATGAAAGCAAGGTTTGGTCACAGTCACTTTAGGAAATCATTTTATAATCTAAACACACTGGAAACTCCCCAGTGTATAAAAACTCCAGGCTAAATTCTGGGAAAGGCTAATGTAGTATAAGCAAAGAACAATTAGACTCCACCAGAATGAAAAGAAGGAAATGGTGTTCCGAGCAGCTTGCCAAAACTAAAGAAAAGTGGAACATTTGCTGAAGACTAATAAGGTGTGAGCAATACAACACAAGGACACACAGCCCAAGTGAACTATGTCACACTGCTTATATTTCTATTAGATCATTACAAGATGTTACGTAAAACTCAGTGTAAAATCCTCAATTAAATGAGCAGTATCTAACAAGAATCAGAAAGCTTAAAAATGTAGATTTCTCAACTCCTGTTGACATGCAAATACAGTTAAATGGGACACAGGTGATATGAAGGTTATTTTTAAAATAAGCCTTAAGTGTGCATGCATTTGTATAAATGAAGAGCTGACAGTCCTGAAATCAGATGTCTTCCTTCAAAGCTCAGATACAACAAAGCACAACTCTCAGTATTGGCTGCCACCAAACAGTCAGTCCTGACTTGGATAGTTTGGTCCTCATTCTGTGCTAAACACAGCTAATAGTGAAGCCAACTGTGGTTAGGCTAGTAGGGGTCTCCATAGGCTGTGGATTCTGTGGACCTAACTCAGACTAATTTCTTCCGTAGGTGAATTTTGTCTGGATTGACTTGATCTGCATTTTGGTCTGTAGCTCTACAGATGGAAAGTCTATCTCAAGGTGTGTGAACACAGAGGTCTGATCACTGTTGTTTATCCAGTATTTCTCTGAGGTGGCCAATTCTATATAATGTATAGGCATATGTGTATCTATATACAAAGAAAGAAAGAAAATTTTTTTAATCCTCTATAAAATTCTGGAAGTGAAGTTACAGTTTACTGCTGATTCTTATAAATAGATTGTTAAAGTCCTGAAAAAAAATAAATCAATCAGCTTTCACATTTTTAGGAGCACAAGCAGATAAGCTGCACAGCAGCAAAACCTGCACACATACTACCACTTTTTAATGTGGCTTCTTTTGTAGAATACCAGAAGAAAAAAAAAAACAGTGGCAATGAAAATGCCAGACAGCTTTCCCTCACAGAAATTATCACTGTTCAAGATGTATAACATAATTAGGTTAAAACCTGCACTAGAGTGATTTACATAATTCGTATGTAATCTGCCAGAAGGAGCAAAACCTGAGCTTTTGACTTCTACTGACAAAACAGCCCTGGAGTGTCAACACCAATAAATCATTATGCCACAGCACTCAGAAAAACACAGTTTTAACACAATGGTGAACCAAAATATTATACTCTATTGTTGATAGCTAAGGAGTTACAAAAAACATGCCATTATTGCCCTTGAAGAATAAAGCTTTCATTTCAGGCTGAAATAAAACAAAACTCAATCACAGACATGAAAAATGAAAGGGCTTATCAAACTCGTACATTTCCACAGAAAGCTTCTATTTTTTCTCCCTACAGTCTACTCTAAGATGTTTTGTTTCTAGCATATTTCTCATAGGAGACTTTGAAGTCTCTTCTACCACGTTAGATTTCCCATCAAGAAATTTCAGGTCAGTCTTAAAAGGTTATCCAAGCCATTCCTACTAAAATCAGTACTATAGCATTCATGTGCTTAGAGTGATGTTGCACAGAGAAAACCAAGTTCAATATTGCCAAGAATGTAAACATTTCCCCAGAAAACAGAGACACGATAATTAGAATTTCAATGTTTTTGCAGAACCAGCATTTTCTTATAACTTTTTTGTTCAGGGAATACACTTAAAATATTTCACTTTCATTAAATACACATACTTAGTTTTGGTAAAGTTAGAGCCCTTTGTTTCAACTCTATTGCTTTGGTTTTAGCTACAGTCTAATATGACAGTGTTGTGACATTTGCATCAAATTACAGTATAAAATACAAAAAATATTAAACTAATTGCACAACCTAACTGTACCTAATCTTATTTCAATGCATGGTGGAAACATGAATTCAAAACACTGGAGTTTCCTGAAAAATAGAGCTTAAATTTCAACAATCAATGGATTCTACTCTAGAGAATTGCTTCCATTTGCCTGATGGAAGTTGCTCTGCATTGTCCAAATCTCAGAAAGATTGCCTTAAAGTAGCAGATTACATTGAATTACTTCCACATTTACATCTCCTGGATTCATTCCTAAGAATGAAGATTTTAAGAAAGATGGACAAGAAAATGAAGGTCTGGTTAGCTCCTGGGCCTTAGCCGACAGAATGACCCTTGTGACTGTGTACATCGAATGAGATTCATCAAATCACATCAACAATAGAATAAAAAAACCTACATATTTAGAAATTTGTATACAAGGGTCCCAACTCATTGCCTTGGAATAACCTGGGGAGTGTTGGGGGGCACATTTCCTTGTACTTCCTCTCTCACAGAGCTCCAATAGAGGTAAGTTCCCCAGAGTTTCTGCCATGGGTCTCAAAACCACAAGACTGCTCTTGAAAAGGGGGACAGGCTTTTTGTTGGGTTTTTTTTTTCAACTTAATATCTGTTTAGTATGCTTTAAAAACCTAATTTCAGACAATTCAGGCACAATTCATGTCTTAGCTGTTGTGGTGGTTTCTTAGTAGGTGGTTTCAAAGTCTATACTTCTTCTTGACTTAACCAGTTTAACTAGTCCTGTAGTTCAGGCTTTCTGAGATAAAAGTTTGCAATGTGCTAGCTATAATTCCTCTAGAAAATGCCCTTAAATCTACATTTATACTGTCTAATTTACAAAGTCACAGAGCTTTGAGTCAGGGAGAGAAAGCATCCTCCTTATCTGCATGAGGAAATGAGTGGTCTGGCCCCTACTAAGCAGATTTTGAGAAAGTGCCAGGTGCAATAAACAAAGGGTTTGCAATTCCCCATTAGCTCCCAAAGCTTACTGAGGCTTTGTCCTACTCCTTACGACTCTGACTTCACAGGCTTTTAGTAAAACTTGGCAACGCTGAGTCTTTTATGCATGCTAAAAATTGCCTGACCACAATGGTGGAACAGAAAATTTCATCCAGCTTTGAAAACTCATCATGAAACTCTGGAAGACACATCAGAAAACACTGGCAAAATAATGGTTGAATATAATGGGAAAAAAATAAGGATCTTTTCTATTCTACAAAAAAAAAATCTTGGCATCTACCACACTGGTAATTTCACCACACTGTAATTCTCCCAGCTGCTGTGAAGCACTACATCATGCTAATGGACTGCTTTGCAATATAGCTGTGTATTAAGCTTAAAGTATTTTTATGGCAAACTAGAGAATCATTGTATAATTTGGTATTATACAAGGTAAAGGGAAAAATACCCAAAGTTTGATGGACACTGTTAGTCTTGCAACAAAAAAGCATAAATACACTGTCTTGGCACCACAACACTGTTTTAGTACAATAGTGAGCCTTATCTTTCTGCAGCACTACTATGGACTTTTATCAGACTTCTACATACCCTCTGGAATATTAAACGTACAAAGTTCAGATTAAAAAAGGTTTTTACATTACAAAACTGTATACCGTGTTTGTGGAGCCCATTTTTCTCCCCCTCCCTTCTGCTCCACATGAGTCAGAGCAAGGGAGAATTCCCACGTCCAGCAAACAGTGCCCATTCTGTTACATCTTCTATTCAGGCCACAGAATAAAAACACAAATGCATCTACTTTTCACATGAGGTCAACTGCAGTAACTGTATCTTTATTAACGAAGGTTAGACAGGTTGGAAAGGTCCACATTCCCTCTGATACATATGCTAAGAACTTCTCTGGGGGTAAATGGCATTACTCATAGAAACCATACAAGATTTGATTTCAGCACAGCTTGCTAAATCAAAGCTGTGGGCTGAGTGTGCCCCACATGCAGACTGGAAGCCAAAGCCTTGATAAATAAAGCAGACTACTCTTAGAATCAATAAGGAATTAACTTTTAAATCTATGAAATAACACTTGTTCCCATTTCACAGGCTAAAACACACACAGACACCAAAAGGCTAAGTGTCCTTTCTGAGACATGCAGGAAGACTGGCAAAACTGAAAACACGAAAATCACACTTTCTCCCCCAAAGGATTTTGGTTTTTTAGCCTATTCATTGCCACAGTATAGGTGCTTATCTGCCTTTAAATTACTCTGCTGCTGCTGCAATTCTATGATCATTACTCCTGCTACAGATCAGCTGTGAACCATGCCAAACTGTGAGGACAACAGGAGAGGAAGCATGAATAGAAATCAAATTGTCAACTTCTGTGACTGAAAACTCATTACAAACATTCAGTGTACACAACTGTTAACTGGCTAACTAAACAGCATAATGCAGCAGTACCAGCTCAATGTAGGCCATCTCTGACCCTGGCTGCTCATACTGACCACTTCACTGCAACATTATCTTAGTTATACTGACACATTTTTATTGTACAGTTGACATTATAAACCAGAACAGATTTTTAAAAATCCACCAAAATTCAGCATACACAAAACAGATAAATTATGCCTTTCCCCAAATCATGTACATTATTTATTGAGACAAAAGGTTATGTTGAACAAGGACTTTCCTCTGAAAGGCATTGCCTTCTACACAAGAGTTCTTATTTTTTAAATAAGAAACTGCAAATGCTGAAGATTTCTTTATGTTGCTTAACTCAAATACATGCAAAAAAATTTTTTCCACATGTCTTTATTGCTCTCTTTATCTGATCAACAGGGTGTGGTGCAACCAACATCCTCACTGACTGCAACCACCTCTAACCCATGAAAACATACCTCTGAACCACATTTTGGA